GAGCGCCGGGCCCTGACTCATGAGGTGGGGTGCAGGGTGAGTCCCGGGGCGCAGGGAGCCGTGTGGTGACTCACGGCCCCGCTGCCCCCCCGGGGGGGGGGGGGGGGGCGCCCGCTCCGCGCTGGCCCCGCTGCCCCCCCGGCGGGGTGAGGGGGGCACTGCCCCACTCCCACCCAGACCCCACCCAGGTTTGAGGGTCCCTGTGTCCCCCCAGGGATGCTCCCCCCACCCTCGTTTGCTGTGGGTTCCGCACCGGCGTCAGTGCCACAGCCGAGGTGGGGCTGAGAATCTCAGGGGTGACACCGGGCTGGCCAGGACAGGGGACATGGGCTGGGTGCCACAGGGGGTGGGATGCCACCTGAGGCCTGACCATGGGTCTGGGTCAGCCCCCAAACCCTGCCGCTGCTGCAGCGGGGCTGGGGGGGGGTCCCAGTTCCTGCAGCCCCAGCTGTCCTGTTCCTCCCCATCCCATGCCCCTGTGTCCCCATGTCCCATGGCCACCCTGGGACATCACAGCCATCTCTTGGGCACTTGTGGCTGCTGTTGGGACAACATGGACACCCCTGAGAGGCCGTATCCATCCCTTGGAAATCTGGCTGGCTTTGGGTACCACGGCAACCCCTGGGCCACCACAGTCACCCCCAGGACACTGCAGCCATCCCTGGGACACTGTGGCCATCCTTGGGATACCACAGTCACCCCCTGGACACCACAGCCAACCCTGGGACACCATGGCCATCCCTGGGATACCACAGTCACCCCCTGGACACCACAGCCATCCCTGGGACACCATGGCCATCCCTGGGATACCATGGTCACCCCCCGGACACCACAGCCATCCCTGGGACACCGTGGCCATCCCTGAGACACTGTGGTCACCCCTGAGACACCACTGCCAGCACCATGGTCACCCCTGGGCCACCAAGGCTGTCCCTGGGGACAGCACAGTCACCCCTGGGACACTGCGGCCACCCCTGAGATGCTGTGCCAGCCCTGGCCATCCCTGGCTCTGCCCCATCCTGGCCGCCAGTGGTCCCTGGCCCCTCAGGTGCTGAGCAGAGGTGGCTTGAGGGCTCTTCCCCCTTGGGTTCCTTCCCACCCCACTGCTTCCCAGGTCCCCCCCAGCCCTGCCCGTGCCAGGTCCCCGGTGCCGCCGTGGGGGGCCCATGTGGCCGGCGGCAGGGGATGCCATGGCCGTGCTGGCAGTTGGCACGGGATGGGACAGGAAGGGGCTACGGCCCCCCGAGCCCCCCATGCTCTCATGGAAGCACAGCCAAACTGTGCTCCAGGGAGACGCTCTGCGCTGGAAAAAATGCTGGAGAATGCCAAATGAGCCAATTCTCAGCCCTCGCGGGTG